TTTTTTTTTTTTTGAATTAGGTGGTGATAGAAGCTTGCCTGGTCAGTCAGGACCAGGCCATGGGATGACTCGAGGAGGGACGTCAGGGTAAGAAGCTCTGTCTCAGAGTGCTTATAATGCTTYTATAATAATTKATTCATTTGTGTAAAGGAATTTASACAAATTGATTCATTTGTGTAAAGGAATTTTCCCCTGTCAAAATTCTAAAAAATACCTTCATCTTCTACTTAAATCTGCATTGGCAAGGGGAAATCAAGGAAATTTCGCAAACACCTATTAAGATGTAAACACAAATTAAGGAAACACCTTTCAGAGTCACAGCAGCATGAACTTCCCAGGCCATKCTCAATTTATCTGGCGTTGTTTTCAGGCGTGGAGGCTTCACCCCAGCTGGGAGCCAGAGCCAGATGTTGCAGAGCAGTGGGATCCCAGGTGTGTTTGGGGGCCAGGAGCGGACGAACAGACTGAGCGAGCCCCGCTTCAGCCGCCGCTACTGACGGCACTCGCTGTACATAGATGTATTTTTTTTTAATGCCAGATATGACAGTGGTCGTGAGTTTTATTAACCAGGGGTCACCTTGAGTTTGTGATTCTAAAACAAAAAAAAAAATGAGACTGCTGCTGCTGCACTGTAGCCAAATACTGTGTCAACTTCCGTTTGGGGTTTGTTGTTTGTTTGGTTTTTTTGTTTTGTTTGTAACGAAAACGGTGTTGGTCAAACATCACTTTAAAGTTTCTGTAAGTGAAACATTCCATTTTTCAAAAACAATAATAAAATCGGTTTATGGCTACTACTTCCTTGTTTCCAGAGTTTTTGGTAATATGCCCTTCATGGAAGGCATAAAAATCAGACAAGCTGCTTTTAGATTTGAGGAGAAGTGATGGATCTGTGACATTGTGGATGTGGAGGGGCCTGGCAGACTCTGTCTTTAATTATTTCCTTTGTGCCATTATGTTTCAATATTCTTTCTACATTTCCATTTTAGTTTACTGTCGTTAACGAGAGTAGGAGGAAGAGGAAGAAAAAGGATGAGGAAGGAGAGACAGGATGAAGAAGGAAAGAGCCTGAAAAGTAGGAATTAGCTCAGTCTAGAGATCAATGCTTCACCTCTCTTGGTGCTGATAGCCTGCTCTGCTCAGTGCTTTTTATCTTCAGCATAAAACCTAAAAGTACACCTAAAAGTAAAATACTCCCAGAGTCAGAAGTCACATCTTCCCCTCCCTCAGCAGCACCACAGATACTCTGGGGATCACACTGGGGGCAGAGAGGACAGTCTTAAGCTGCACCAAGGGAAATATAGGTTGGATATTAGGAAAAAGTTTTTTATGGAAAGGGTGATAAAGCACTGGAATGATCTGCCAGGGAGTGGAGTCACCATCCCTGGATGTGCTTAAAAAAAGATTAGCTGTGGTGCTTGGTGCCACAATTTAGTTGAGGTGTCAGGGCATGGGTTGGACTGGAAGATCTTGAAGATCTCCTCCAACTTTAGTGGTTCTGGGATTTTTTGAAGGCTGGGGGGGCACTGAGTGCAGGTAGGGGGCTCACAGGAAAGGTGTGGTGTGTGGRGGTGTGGGCTGGAGGGTGGGAGATGCCCCAGTTGTGAAGGTGGTGGCCCTCAGAGCTCAGAATGTGCCACACCCAAGATGGCAGCTGGGACAAGACTTCGGAGTGTGCCACACCCAGGAGGGAGGGCCTGGCCAGACCTCGGAGTGTGCCACACCCCATTTCCCATCAATTTATAGAGTTGTAATATTAAAAAAAAAACCTACAAAAAAAAGCAGGGTACAACTTCTGTATCTGCACACTTCAGGGTTAACAAATCTGTTTTACAAGCCTGGAACATCACCACAGAGAGATTTCAGAGTGATTTTTAACAGCTCATGACGCGGCCCAGAAAGTTAAGCCTTGGAAAAACAAATTTTTTTCCCTTTATTTGTATTTCACCTGTTTCACAAAGAGCTCCATGGCAGAAGTTCCTTCTGCTGCAAAATGCTACATCAGAGAAATGGGGGTTTGAACAGAGATTAAAAAGAAAAATTCCTGAGCTTCAGGAATCGTGATGAGTTGACCCCAAAATACCAATACCATTTTCACAAATCACTATGCACTCACAAAGCCCAAGTCTTGTCTCAGTTTTATTTAGCATTTATTTGAAAAACACAGAGGTTTTACTAGATGATAAAGATGCTCTTAACCACCACTGGATACTAAAATAGAACCTGCAAGGGGAATATTTGTAAAATCCCTTGAAGGAGCACCAAATAGTTTGGAACTACCAACAAAACACGCACCTGGAGTGGGGAGCAGGAAGAGCTTGGTTTGTGGATTTCTACATCTACCCAGGACTGTTTTGGGGAAGAATTTCCCAATGTTGTGATGTATTGATGTGTTAAAAATGCATAGTAGAAATCAAAACATCTCACAGAATTCCAGGGACTGTTTTAACCCTGGTTACAGCATTATATTGTTTCAGATTCTGTGAGGTATCACCCAGACCAAAGCCTCCACCCCTCACTAGCAGCCGTTCTGACCCTCCCAGAGCCTGCAAGGAATCAACCCAGGCCAACCTCCTTGGCTTTGATTTAATAACAGCTCATTGTACACAACTGGCTGGATTTTGCCCCTTTAATTCCAGTGTTCCCAAGCTTTCCACAGCYCTGTGCACAGAGTTAAACCAGCTGAAAGCAAACATCTCACTTGGGAAAATAAAAACCTCGAAGAGGCCCGAGGTTCAAATTTACATTACAGCAGAATCAGGAACTGCYATTCCTTTCCTGAATGTGGGCAATATTGCTGAAGGGCTGGGATTTGGGATGTGTAACTGCCCCTAATGACACCCTGCACCATGCCCAGTCATTCCTGGAGCAGCAGCTCTGCCAGGAGCCTCCAGGGAAGGGATTCACTCCCTGGGCCCTAAATGGACCCAATTATCCTCATGGGATACCCTCACTTYGTGCCTTTTTAGCACAGGAGTTTTGTTTCCACGGGCCCAGATTGGAATTTGGGATGATTTTTAACAGAAAATTCTCACCTGCTGCCAGATTCCACAGAAAAAAATTGAGCTAAAGCACTGTCATGGTAGGTGTGCAGTGCAAGCTGACTCTTACAAGTGTTTTCAAAAAGGTCTGGTTATGTCCTTTAAGAAGAAACCATCTAAAATATTTAATMAATCTTCTAATCTGGTTGGGTTTTTTTATTTACTCCACGTAGCAGCYGAGGTTGTACAAAGATGGCACAGCAGAGGATGGACAGATGAACTCAGACCCCGCCTGGAGCCCCCACTGCCACTTTTTTCTGGTGTTTCCCCCCACTGTGATGTAGAGAATCATCATCTCCATTTTCCAAAAGGGAAAYTGAGGCACAGAGCCTCAAATCCAGCATTTGTAGGAGTCTAACAGATCACAGCCTGAATCTCAGACTGAATCTCTCATCCTCAAATCACTCTCCTGCAGTCACTTCCTAATCCAAACACAGAGTCCACCAAATCCTTATTTGTAGGTAAAAGCACCAAAATCTCAGGAAGTGAGCCTTGGAAATCCACATTTGGCACTTCCCCATACTGAAAAGTAATAATTATCCAGACATTGATATTGGAACAGGCAGAAGAAATTGAATCTGAAGGAAAATTTTCCTYATGACCTCATTCCCCCAGGTTAGGGACAGATTTATTTAGATTTTCTAACCTCAAAGCCCGAGTTCTCAGCCAGCACAAACGGACTGAACTCCAGGCAAGGAGGAAGTTCTGCTCACACACAGCAGCAGCATTTTTAACCCATCTCTGAAGTTTCACAAGGACAATTTCCTCTTTTGGAYTCTCTGGTGGAAGGCTGTTCCTGTAACTCCCACCCCAGCAGCCAAAAGAAGAAGATCAGCTTGATTTTTGCACTGAAAAATAAATTCTTTATTATCCAGAAAGGAGCCAAATCATCATCATCATCTCACATCATGGAAATGGCCATTTGTAAAGCAATAAATACAAGGAGTGTTCTGTGCCACACTCTGAATTTTGTCATTATTTTTTTGTCATGGAGGTGTCTGGGACCTCTCTGGTAAAAGCATAAAACTTATGCTGTTAAAGTCTCACTGTACAACAGTCTGGCAAGGAAAGAAGGCCCCTAAAATCTTTTTGCTAAAGCAATAACAGAAAAAAAAATTTGATTTCAGCAAAACTCAAGTTCCAAGCTGGGTTTTGCTTCATAAAAAGGAATTTCATCCAAAGGAATGAAGCTGAATTTCATCCCTTCCATGCACAAATGCAGGAYCCGACACACACACACAAAATCACCTCATCTATAATTTATACTGGATCAGTTCTTAACCATAAATTATCTATTTACTACTGATTCCAATGTTTTTTTTTTTTCTTGAATTTCCTATTCGAGCCAGGGGAGTTGCAGGAACAGCACAGGWTGCAAAATTGAACTTCTTTCAGCAGGAAGTGGAAGTCAGGTTAAATCCACACAGATACTCCAACAGCAGTAATTGAGAAATTTAAAAACAAAAAAATCCCAAAACAAACAATTAGGGGCTAAAAAGACTTAAAGAACAATTAATAATGATGATTGTTCAAATCCATTCAAAATAGACATTAYATCAGAGAGCGTGATTTGTGCATAAAACTGAGGACAAAACACCTTTCACCTTCCAATTCCTAAAGCAACAAAACTGTTTTGAAAGAACAGGTGTGAAGCAAGTAAAAAAAATAAAATATCATTATTCCAAACACTTTTATTTGTGAAGGAGTTTCCTGCATGGCCATGGGACAGCAATGTCTGAAGTTACAGGGCTACATGATTCAGAAAACAAGGATGATTTGGAAGTTTGGCTTGGCTGTTCTCTACCATGAGCAGTGATTTGGAGAAGTGTCTGGGAGAGATCCATCCTTCCACTGCCTGCTCCTCCACAAACACCCCTGGGTGCTCACCCAGGACTGGAGAGCAGAGTGAAAACCCACAAGAAGTTCCACAGATGCTGGAGATGAACTCAAGTTTTACCTGTGACTGATCCTCCTCAGACAAATCTTGATAAGAGCAGCAGCAGCACCCCTCGCTTTCACTCCTCTCTGAAAGCTTCATTAAAAATTATCATTAAACCGTTATTAGAGAACAACTTCAAGGTGACATTAACAAGATACTGGCCCGAATTCAGCTGCCAAGAGAATAAACACCCAACTGGGAGACTCTGCAAGGAGCAGGGGCAGATGTTCCTCTCCACCACGTGCACCTCAGCAGAAATCTCTGCTCTGGGTTCGGTTCCAGTGTCAGCTCTGGTTTAAAGCTCTGCCCAGCAGCAGCTGCACCTGCCCTGCTGCCAAACCTGCCCAGTTCGATGGCTCGGTGACATTCACGGATGTGCTGAAAGTTCTCTGATAATGCTGGGGACATCACAGTCTGTGCCTGTCTGCCAGGATCCTAAATATCAAAACGGTTCATGTTGTAGGGTGTGGGATAGTTCTGCCTGCTGTACTGGAAGTGGTCTGTSAGGACGTTGCTGCGGCCGTACTGAAAGTCTCCGTGCTGCCCAAAGGTTGTGAGGCCGTTCTGGGATTTCTCGGGGGCGTTTCGGTGCCGCTCCAAATTCACCAGGTCCCCGGTGGTCACCGGGAGCAGCTGCTGCTTCTTCGCCTCCTGGTTTGCGTCGTATTTGGTCTGGGAAAGGAAGAAGAGATGTTTTTCACAGAATCACGGAATCTTTTCAGCTGGAAAAATGTGAGTGCAGCCTGTGACCCACCCGTGTCACCCAGAGCTCTGAGTGCCATGTCCAATCCCTTCTTGGACACCTCCAGGGATGGGGACTCCAAACCTCCCTGGGCAGCCCCTTCCAAAGCCTGACAACTGATCCAGTGAGTACTGATTTCCTTAGATATCACCTAAAATACCACCTTGACATACTCATATACCCAGAAAAAGGCAAACATTTCTACCGTCACATCACTTCTTGTTAGAGTCTTAAAATATTATTTCCTTCTAATAAAACCTCACTCCTCTCATGTGCCAAACGAACAAACAGATCTTTTGCTCAAGAGATTCTGAGTTACTTCCTTATCTTCCCTTTTCAAGAAACGATTAAGATCAAAATTTAATTCTCTGAGAGGCCCAGCAGCTGCTGTGACCCGAGTCCACACACCCCTCCCCTGCAACACAGCTTCACACCCCTGTGCTCTCTAATTTCACTCCAGCACCTCTCAACTTGTACAAAAACCAACTCAGGGCTGCTGGACTGTTCCAGCTGTGCTTGCTGGAGAAATAAACGCAGCACAGGCTCACCTTGTTGTACAGGAAGACCCCGAGGATGGCTGTCATCATGCCCAGGACGTTGGTGCTGGTGACGGGGTTGCGCAGCATGATCAGGGACACGGTGATCACCATGATCCTCTTGGTGGCATTGGCCACAGAGTAGCTGAGGGGACTGATCAGGTTCAGGATACTGAAGGCAATGACATTCTGAGCGAAATTACAGAATCCACTGATTATAAGCAGCATCAAGGTCCAGGACCAATGAGACATGGAGCTCTGTGGCAAAGCAAACAGCAGGAGGGAAAAAAAATTATCTCGGGTTTCAGGTAACAACATAAACACAACCTGAGTCACTCTCACCTGCTATTGGCAGGAGGAATATCTGYACTGAGCTTTAAAGAGGCCCCAGGAATTGCTTTATGCAACTCCCAACCCAGAGAAGCAGAGGAGGACGTGTCCCATATGCTCTGGGAGTGTTTGTTCCTGTCCCCAACTCCTGAAATTTATGCTGCCCCATAAAGTGCCCCTCCTAACCCYGACAGGAATCCTCACAATCTACACTTTGTTCACTTGTGTGACACAATCTGCAGGTGTTTCACAACCACTTCCTTCCACAGACACTGAAACACTTCAGTGCACTTTTCTGGTCACGTGGTGGAATTTGTTTGCTAATTTTTTTTTTCTCTTTACTTTCTTAACAGCAAACAGTTCTCCAAATAGAGCACTCACCAAGTCATTCTCTACCAAGAAGGAAGAAAGATCCACCAAAACCCAGGTGGGGATCATGAAGAACACAGCGTGGCACCCGAGGATGTTCAGCAGCCGAAGGTGATGGATTCTGGAATCTCTCAGCACCTGGCAAGAGCCGACATTGAACAGCAGTGAAGAAACAGAAACAGCTTTAGGGGACAGGTGAGTGAGGAAAATAAGTAGAAAATCAGTAAATACTGTTATAGTATGAATTTTCTATAAGGGTGACCAAAGGAAAACTGATGTCTCTTTGAAAAACAATGTTTTTTTGAGCGACTCTTAGTATCAACAAGGTATTAATATTAAAATTGATAGCTCTACAAACCAGAAATCATTTTGTAACTAGACAGGGTCAAACACACACTTTAGTTTTGTTTCTATGATTTCAAGGAGTGCCCATTGTTGACAGTGACTTGTTCAGCACAGAGGAATGATTTGATGTAAGGAATAATTTGGTATAAGATATATTAAAAAGTTTCAGATGAACTGAATTTAAGCACTACTRAATTGCCATCAGAAAAACAAAAGAATCCATGTTGAGAAGTAAAGAAAAGGCTCAGGAYAAACCCTGAGCTCTGCCCAATTTTCATTGTAACAGCTTCAACATGTAGGAAACACACACAGGGAACATACAAAATAACAACCATCCCTCTGGGCTCCTTTGACTGCAAAGCCAACTTAAAAAAAAATACATTTATGTGACTGAAATGACACACTATYCTGCTGCAGGGTGACACCAGTGACCCAACACCGTGAATAGCAGTGGTACCTTCTTGGAGAAGATGTTCTGGAGTGAAAAGCACAGAGTAGCAGCAAGAGCACTGATGAGTCCCCACATGTCAAAGGAGAGCTCTGTGACCGTGGCCAGCAGGACACCAGTGATGATGGGGATCAGGGACAGGTACACCTGAAACAGGCACAGAGGGGGAACTTGCACCTTCTAACCAAGTTTATACATCCTGCTGATTTRGGAGGGAAAGAAGAAGGAAGAATAAAGCAACAAAAGCAGGGATCAACTATTTTACTGTTGTAGTTTAAGGAAATGAAGTGACTGCAGTAGACACTGGCAACTCYAGTGCATCAGAGAGCATCACCCTGGTCAGCACTGGATGTGTTTTATGCTGACAATAAAATGAAAAGGAATTGGTGAAATCTGCACAATCTAATTCCAGCCCCCAAATCCACTCCAGCCAGCGCAACACCCCCCGAGCAGCACCAAAAAAAGAAACCTCAGCAAACCTGTCCGCACCTTCGTCGTCTGCTTCTCCTTCATGATGATCCGYGAGAGCAGAACCACCCAGATCGGCATCGTGGCTTTCACTGGGGACGGGAACAAAGCGTTGGTGGGGACACGGGGTGGGGACAGCTCCAGCAGCCACCATCAGCAGGGGCAGGGACGGAGCAGGGGCAGGGATGGAGCAGGGGCAGGGATGGAGCAGGGACAGGGACGGAGCAGGGGCAGGGATGGAGCAGGGACAGGGACAGAGCAGGGGCAGGGTTGGAGCAGGGGCTCAGTGCAGGCGAAGCACAGCCAGGGACGGGTCCTCCCTCCCTGTCACCGTCCTGGGCGTTTGTGCAAATTGGATCTTGGTGCTTTGGGACACTGCTGGACACCCACAGGGTACAGAGCACAGCACTGTCCTGGATCTGGTGCCAGCACACACTGGGGACAGGGACACTGCTCTGGGAACATGTACGAGTACACGGTGGGTACTCGGACACTGCACTGGGCACCTGCACAAGCACACAGTGGGAATGGGGACATGGCACTGGGCACCCACAGGACACGCGGTGGGTACTGGACACTGCACTGGGCACCTGTATAAGCACACAGTGGGTACTCGGACACTGCACTGGGCACCAGTACAAGCACACGGTGGGTACACGGACACTGCACCAGGTGCCCGTAAGAGCACACACCGAATTTCAGCTCACCCCGCTGGGCACTAACCCAAGCTGGTCCCCCAGGACATCCCCCCGGGCATCCCCCCGGGCATCCCCCCACCAGCACAGCCAGCACCGGGACATCCCCGGGACACCCGGCAGCGCTCACCTGTGTGCGCGTAGGACACGGGGACCCGCCAGAGCGAGACGTGCGCGGACACGGAGGCGAAGTACTTGCCGAAGGCGAGCGGGAGGATGTAGCGGGGGTAGGCGCGGGGCGGCAGCTGCGCGGGGCCGGCGGGAGGGACGCGCCAGGCGCGGAGCAGCGGCGGCAGGAGCCCGCACAGCCCCAGGATGTGGAACAGCGACACGGTGACGGGCCGGGGGAAGCCGCCCAGCAGCAGCTTGTTGACCACGTTGCCGCCGGCGCTGAGGCCGTACCAGGCGAGGCACAGCGC